GAGGGAGTATGAATTTGTGATATTTTTCATCTAATGAAGTCACTTTTATACCAATATGAAAAAAAGTCACATTTTTGCAACAAAATTCTACTAGTAACATTCATGCCCTTTTTTCAACATTTCTTGCTCGTGTTACACTTAACACTTTTGAATATAAGCAACTTATAAGTTATAATTATCAATAATATCACCAATATTCATATGTGGTATCTATTCATGCTTTCCCCAGTTTTGAGCGGTTGAAAAACTATTTTTGAAAAATCGAACTTACAAGTGACTTCGCAAAATGACTTGATCAAGGGTCAAATGGACCCGGCAGATTAACCCGTCAATGATTAAAAAAGCTGTCATCATTTATAATAATTTATATTAAGAAAATATAGTTATATATGTAGTATATACTACGGCCAAGTAATTAAGAAGTTTTCATAATAGTTAAATAATAATGGTACCAATTAGCAATCATTTACAATACTCCCACAATATTCAAAAATATAATGTTAGCCATATTATAATCAATAATGTTATTTGTGTTGTATATTTACAATTTAAGGATAAAGCATATTGCTATATATGTTGAAGATCTTAATACTTGAAAAGATACATGCAGGCTAGGTCACCCAAACATGTATGATATACAAGTTTTTATGATGTATAATGAAAGATGCATTCACCCACTCAAATAACAACTGGTGCATCTTGCTTAAGCAACTTTAACACCGGTTGAATAACTTTTGTGGCTTGTGACGTCCCATCTTTCTTTGTATTATCAAAGCCACTCAACCTATTCAAGCAAATTCAACGTGTTAGTGAGACTGCATAGAATTTGGATTCTGGTTTGAGATATTTAATGGGGACCACAACAGTGGTAATGCATGGAAAATGCCGGTGGAAATAAAACCATGTGAGCATTTCTCCTAGTGTGATCAGTCCATTGTTGCTTAATGGAGGCCATGGCCAAAACAAAGCAAGAATCACAAAACTTGAGAAGAGTGGCGGGTTACGGTAGTTTATGGATGTTTATGGTGGCGCCATATGGCGGGACTTTGGTCATCCGCCATTTGTGAGATAGGATCAGTCACATGTTATACCAAACTCAAGTGTTATGGTTGGATCTAATAATAAAGAAAACTAGAAAAGTATAGAGTAATAAAAAGTTATTTTTTCCAAATGTTGATAAGATGAAAAAACTTGTAATCATTTTACAGATTATATTTCCTTCATTTTATTTAGAACCCCTCCTTTAAATATCTATTTAAGTAACTGAACACAGATTTCCAATTTAGCTAGCCACACACCTGCACTCTAACCATGTACGGTAACTCAGTAATTCCAATCAAATTGCATCTCCTCACACCTCTCAAATGAACCTTATGATCCAGACTCAACCTACAAAATTAGACATATTAAAGGACAAAAGAGAACATACATACATGTGAGGCCGTTTGTCTTTCAATTAAACTCAAAGTTCATTTGACTCATTAAATTTTTGGTATCACAGAGACCATATTGATTGCCAACAGATTCAAGCCTGACCGGAGAGCCTAAGCAATCAGAATTGAATGATGATATCCCATGGTCTAAGGTATTTTCCGAATAGTGAGTTAGTGACTTTGCTCCAAGTCCTAAAGTCCAAGTCCACCAAGTGTGCATTGACCGGGTAAGATAATAAGATTCCATATACTCGCAAGAATGTCAATTTACATCAAAAGGAATTGAAATTCAATTGTAGTAAATGCTTATCAGAAATAATACCAAAATATCTCAATAAAAAGTTACAATAACTATTCCATTGCAGATGAAGCACAGTTTTGTCATGTTTTGTTTCTAGGGAAAATTGTTGCAACCTTTGAAGTTTGCAAGCCCGAGTTAACAATAGGAAATGACAAAAAAAGTATCAATTAAGTACAGAAGATCATTAAAAAATGAAGGTCATAAATATAGAAATGCTGCTCTGATTGTAATATATATTTAGTGAAATACCCTCTGTTTTGGACTTATTTAAGGAAATTAACTAATATTTTAATAGTTCGTGTTAAAGACAAATCTTCTCTGTTTAGCATTGCATATCTCCACAAAATCAAATATAAATAGGGGGATATGAAATGGAAATAAAATAGGAACAAAATCCCCTACCTTTCATTATCAAACGTCTTATGTTCCCAATTGAAATAGAAATCTGGTAAAGGAATCTCTTATGTTAGGGCACTAATAACCCTAAGTAGCAATAGAAATAAGAATAACAACAAGGGGTTCAATTCAAGGGCAATCAAAATTTGTAGGAAAATTATTAGATTTGGAGGAATGAAAAAGGTCCCCAAGTGCAATACAAATTTGGTGAAGAAAACCGTTCAGTCTAATAACCTTAAGTAGCAATAAAATGAAGAATAACAAAAGGGGATTCAATTCAGTGCTGCGATGAAGTGCACTACGAAATCTAGACGAATTGAAAGAGAGAGAATAGGAACAATGAAGAGGAAAGACATCTCAAGCAACGCACGACTAAAGAGAGAAGGAAACTTGCCTTTCCAGAGAGCACACCGACCGACCATAATTGGTCCATATTCATCTGACGTCGATCGATTCTGGAACAATGCAAAAAGAAAGTCTTTATACGCTTACGTTCTAGGAGTTTCGTTGAAATTATGATCTGCCATGTTTGCTCCGTAGAAGTGAAGACCGATAATGAAATGAGAACGATAGAAGGTCGTGTTCTGAACAGGGAAAAAGTGCTTACTGTTCCATTTTACGTAGTATAGGGTTCGCTATGCAATTTATAAAGTGATACACGTATATTTAAAAAAAAAGGTGACCTAGATCAATGAGATAATGCCAACTATGAAATGCACCAAAACATTCAATAACATTGATGCACCGAAGAGCTCCCCTAAATATATACTCCGTATGTTATAATATGTTAATCTGTTGCGATTTTATTTGTCCAAGTAGACAAATGTACCGTACACTAGAAATTAATGGATGTACCATAGAATTTTCCTAATTAAAAACACTAACCAAAGTTCCACTGAACGAACATACATCATTCAGAGGTTTATGATATTAGCATGATTTCTTCCGTAAATTATACCATACAGCTGACTGTACGGTACTCACCGTACAACCGGGTATTTTTGCAATTAATTATGCTTCGTATGTCTTAAAATCCATGTGTACCAGTCTTATTTGTCCAAGTAAGCAAGTGTTCCGTACCCTAAAAAATAATAGATGCACCGTAGAACGAATGTTTTATACGGAGTATCATATTGTTTAAAATGTATTCTTAACATTAAAATTTATGGTGTAAAAAACATTAAGATTCATATCTTTTTTATATTACTAATTATTTTCTATATAAATATATAAATAACTGAATTTTCATTGAAAAATTGCTCTATATCACTTTTGGTCTACGTTTGGATAGTTGGTATTATTAAAAGTAATTTTCACAGTATGTATTATTCTTGGTTCATGGAAGATAGTTTGTATTATTTAAAGTTATTTTTCCTATTTTAAACATTAATAAAAATGAAGTGAATTATAAGATATGAATTCGATATCACGATACTCATTATTAGATTCTTAATGCTTAGTATAATAGATTTGGTGCTCACTAAATGAACATTAATGCTCATTTAACGTAAGTCGCGATTTTCACTTAAATTACAAAAATGACATTGCACCCTACGACCTGCTGCATGGTATAAGAACTCGTATTTCTGCCGTTTAATCCAACTTCCAAAAACCCAAAACAAACCCCAAACAAAATGAAATAAGAATGGTCGAGATTACTCTTACCTAGGGATTACAACGGGGCGGATCGGGGACGGGTACACATAAAACCGATGCCGCCCCGTTGGATAAATGTTTGCCCGTTCCCCGCCCCAACGGGAAATCGGTTTATCCACGGGTAACCGTTTCCCCAAATGCTCTTAAATAACCAATTTCTAATCCTAATGTAACATCCTTCATAGTAAATTATATATTCAAAGCCCTAATTTCTTTTTCAATTTGCATCCCATTTTGTATAAACCGTACCCACTCTGCATCCAATTTTGCTAAATCTTAATGATGTAAAAAACTACAAAATTAGACATCGAGCAAACTCACCAAACTATAATACACACTATGTATTAATCACAAGATAAGCATCGAGCAAACTCACCAAACTGTAATATACACTCTGTATTAACCACAAGAAAACTTACCTTTGACAAGAGTGATTCCGAAAATAGAAGAAAGAAGGATCTGGGTAGATTCCTTGATAATGAGAGAGATTAGAAGCCACCGATGGTAGAGCCGAACTGCAGGCCTATCATCGTTCCATCTAGAAGAATCGAAGAGAGTTGTTCTCACCGTTAAGAAGCAGAGCCCTGAGTCGTAAATCCGTATTCCGTGATAGACTCTGAGTTAGAGATGTTAGGGTTTTTAAAGTGGGTCTCTGGTGTAATATTCTTTATATACTTATATGATATATATGATTTAGTGTACACAATTTAATATACTCCCTCCGTCCCGTTGGAATGTTCCCGCTTTCCTTTTTGGATGTCCCGTTGGAAAGCTCCCATTTCCCTAAATGGAAAGTTATCCTACATCAAAACAGGGTCAAACAGTGCAAAACAGTGTCAAACAGTGTCGAAACAGTGCCAAACATTGTCGAAACAGTAAAATTTACCCCATGGTAAGTTTATTTCCTTAATATGTATGTAGGTCAAACCGGGAACATTCCAACGGGACGGAGGGAGTATATAGTTATTATTCATATATATAAAGAGTTATAATTTATTAATAATGTTACGGATCGGGTAACGGTGCGAGTACCCGCACCGTTAATGAACGGGCCGGTTTTAGGGCAGATAACGGGGCAGATTAGTATAGAACTATTACCGCACCATTATCCATTTAAAAAAACCGGGTATTGCCCGCCCCGTACTCGTTCCCCAGTCAAACCGGTTTTCCCCATTTTGGCCAAACCGGTTCAGTGCGGGTATCCAACGGGTCGGCCGGAATTGGCATATGTGAATCACTTGTCATTTGAGACTCCCAAATTCAGACTTGAAGCAGACGATGGCGGGGGATCCTGCATATGATTCATACATCGCGTCTCAATGTCATTTGCTTATTGTTGTTTAGATCAGATCTGGCTTTATTTCAGCTGATGCGTGCTCTCAACATCCATCTCGCAGTTCCTTAATCAACTTTCCGATGGCATCTGATCTTAAAGGTTTTATGATTCGACACAATTTTTCCATTTTGTCTTACACATATTTGCATGACTTTTGCTCTTCCATTATATTTCTAATGCACCCGGCCTTCTCATTCTTGTTCACTGACAATACATATGGCCGTCGGTCACACTTCAACAGGAAAAGCTCTTGTCCTCATGGGTCCAAGTGGTGCCGGAAAGTCGTCAGTCTCTCGCTTCACTCTTTACATTCCAAATCCTGTCTGAGCTATGGCGTTTCGGTTATTATTTACTTATTTATTAAATAAAAACGCTGAAGCAAATCATTTTGATCACTTCGACAGTCATTATATTGATTTAAATCCTTGCTTCAATCCGTTGTTATATCTGTGAACAAAACAAACATGGTCATTCAACTACTTACTTCGATTGTGTGTATTTACGTACAGGACAATAGGTGAGATGCTCGGAAGAGCCATTGATGGTCACTTTGTTGATGCCGACGATTATCACTCTCCTTCAAACAAAGGTAGGCAAGATCTGATGACTTCCATGGATACATTTTGGAAAAATGCCTGGCGGCTGCTGAATCAGCCAGCCGAGTTTCTACTCTATAAATGATGAAAACCTAAGTTAGAGCATAGCCATAGCCTTTGGAAATTAAAATATTAGCGGAACTGTTGAAATTGAATAAAGGAAAAATTATATGTAGTATGAAAATAGCTAAAATCGTCGTCTAAAATAACTTCAATCAATTTGGTAGAAAATTAAGTCTAATTTTACTTATTTTGATTATTTTGAATGATAAGTAGACAATTGGAATACTGTATCAAAGAAAAGTAAATTGATTTCTATAGGACTAAAGAGGTTATGTCGATTCTTGCTTACCAAATGAAACTTGTGACTTAACATCATTATTAATTAGCTAGCTAGCTTTTGGAATTGGGGGAAAGATAGTTTAATGGTAAATGATACAGCAGTTATAGTATGCAGAAAAAATGAGGAACGGGATGGCATTGACAGAGGAAGATCGGGCTCCTTGGCTCGAGACACTGCGAGGCGTGGTAAGAGAGGGGTTAGCAAAGGGGGAAAGCATGGTTCTTGCTTGCTCCGCTCTCCAAACACAGCACAGGGAAAGCCTGAGGTGCGCTGATCCTGGTTATCAGCCAGGCTCGGGCGGGGTGCGTGCTTGTTCAGTCAAGTTCGTTTTGCTGGATGTAGGGGCCGATGTTCTGGCTGGCAGGCTGAACAGAAGGGCGGCAGAAGGGAACCACTTCATGCCTGCAATGCTCTTACAATCCCAGTTGGATTTGCTTCACATAGATGAATCGGAAGGCATATTCAAGGTTGATGGAACTTTGACCCCTTCGGATATTGTGAGCAAGATCCGAGCATCCCTTTTCTCATGATTCATTGATTCTTATCCTCTTAAAAAGTTCACTATATCTATATGCCTTTTCTTGCTCCATGAACAACCACATCCAACTTTTTCACTTTTAATCCATGCTATATTTTATGTCTGGCCTTCAGTCAATAATTGTAATAATTTGGTGTATCCAAATTCCAAACCTGGCATACGATGTCTGGCCTTCACATAATTTAAAAAAATCGTCTTCAGTTGATATTTCAAGAATTAACTACAATTTACTTTAACTCTCACCTAAATATCATTCACATATTTTACATAAAATTTGAGCAACTTACTTTAACTCTCACCTAAAAAATGCAAGATAAAATTTCACTTCAATTTTTCTAACACCTTTGAAAATAGAGAATGTCAAAGATAAAAATGCAGACCTTTAACCAAAGCTATATATTCTATTTGAGAATTCAAAAAATATAATTCGTGAGATAATTTTTTTTTGTGTATTGTTTGAGATCTCTTTCAAGTATTTCACACATCTAGGCATACAAACTCAACTTAATTTGCTCTAAACTACTTCAATTCTTCTAACACATTGGTTTGAAAACAAAGCAAGTCAAAGATAAAATGCACAGCTTAAACCAAAAGTTATATATCTAATTTGAGAATTCAAAAACTATCATTCATGGGATAGATGTATTTATCAAATAATGCATGAGATCTATGCATACAAATTTAAATAATTTTTCTCTAATAACGGATAAGAAATGTACTCACAATAGAATTTAGATTTTCATAAAACTCTTCTTCAACTCTTCTAACACCTCGGTTTGAAAATATAGCATGACATGTCAAACATAAAAGGGGAAATTCCCTAAACAAGAGTAAAAAAGTTTTGAAATTCCAAAATAGGACTACCATGTTTTTTATTCCTTAAAAAAGAGTAATTTCTGCCAAGTTTGACATTACCAGACTTTAAACTAGATGTACCTATTTGATATTGCTTGAGAACTCTTTCAAATGTTTTAACTTTAAATATTTATAGTAATTTACGTATTGTTAGATTATATTAACTCATAAATTAAAAACCAATTAAAAGAGGTTATATTAACTATGTCATACATTTGTAGCAACTAGATTCTCACCCGTGCGATGCACGAGATAAAATTTAGTAAAATGCTATTGTATCATTTTTTACATTAATAATAATGATATAAAAGTTTTATCAAGTTATATTCTATGAATGATTGATAAGAGAATTGAGAATAGACATACTATAAATAAAAAATTAAATAGTTTGAAAGCTACGGTTTTGAAAGAATTCCTTTTCAAACCTTTACAATTTGTAACTTGTCATTATAATGTAAAGTTAACCATGACCAAAGGAATGTTTGAGGTTGCTCCTATTTTAAAGAAGCGTTTTTAAATTGATTTTGGAAAAATGCTTTATAGTAAAAGTTTATTGTATTTGAGAAAAAATGTGCTAAATAATGGCCCAGGCTATGTATATTATATATAGATAGATAAGTACACAATTGGTTGGCCCAGGCTATGCATATTTATCGATGAATTATATAATCTTAAGCATCTTTCATTTCCTTGACATATTTTTCACATTGCTCTTTCATTACTATGTCACATTAATTTTTCATTATCACAATCATGTTTCATCTCTACCATTGAACTAAGTTGTTTCTCTTTTTCATTAATTCACAAAATTATAATTTTTAGGATATATTCCTCATGGAGTAAATTACTATCACATTTTAATTCTTATGATGAGATGATATCATGTCTCCCACCATTCCAATCTAAATTCCAATCTTACGTTTTTGTCTGTCCCATGATTCATTTATGGCAAAGAATATGTGACTCACAGCAATTTTATTTTCTTTGTACAACTTTAAGTTACACAATTTTCACTTTTTTAATCCATGTGTGAAGTCAAAAAATAAATTGATTATTGAACCAAGGGAGTAACAATTTCATTTTTTTCATTCTATAAAAACTCTCACCCCGTGCATCGCACAGGTGAGAAACTAGTGAATACAAGACATTGACACCAACGACTTAAATCATCAGTTCTACTAGAGATTTTAAATGACATACAAAGTAAATTTTTAGTCATTCATATCTAGACAATTTTTCATCTTTCATGCCTATTTTTAGGGGTGAGTTCGATTCAAACGGTTCGGTTTCACCTAAAGCCAAATGTCGAACCAAAGTGAAAAGTTTGGTTCGGTTTGGTTTTATGCTAAAAACTTTGGAATCACGGTTTGTTCGGTTTGGTTTATTTCAGTTCGGTTTTGGTTTTTTCGGTTTTTGTCAGAATATTTTTGTTGATTTAAAAAATAGTAATTGGATAACAAAAACAAAAAAATAAATTACATCAAACTATAATTAATAGTAATACAATACAAAATCATAATTAAAAAGAGATAGGCGAAACAAATGCACTTTCAAGCAATGAATTAGAGAGTACATGTATACCAATTTAAACATTAAACTAATTAAATAAATGAGTTTATTTGTGAATTATATATAGTGTATTCGCAAGTTAAAATTTTATTTGTAAATGTTGTGTCCACTAATTCATTTTCTTTTTTACTAAGACTTATCTTAATAGCAAATAGCATGTTCTATATTAGACAAAGTTATTTATGCTCTAAAGTTTCACGTTTTCCAATGTTGTTTAAAGTATCGTTTGCACTACCCTGTAATACATATTTGTTCAATATAAAAAATTATGTGATAACGAACATACATAACAAATAATATATCAACAACTATGTATCAAACAAGTTAATATTATAGCAATAGACTTAAGTGTATGTACAAGTGTTTCACTTAATTAAATCATAACTATTAAATGTCAATATCTTTCAAATCATAATAAATCTAGTATCAAAAATTATTTTTTTAGCTTTTAAAAAAAAAATAGAATTAAGAATTAAGAACTAAACAAAATATTATACTTAATGATTAATAAATAAATAGCAAGTTTTAAAATGTTCGGTTTGTTCGGTACGATTCGGTTTTGAGATGTGAAAACAAAAATCGAAACCAACAACTATGGTTCGGTTCTATGTTTTTAGTTCGGTTTTGGTTTTCTTGCGGTTCGATTGTTTTGGTTGCGGTATGTTTTTTTATTCGGTTTGCAGTTTTTGGTTTCACCGACCCACCCCTACCTATTTTTTGTTAGTTATTTTATCGTTCCCCCGAAAATCAACATGCATCTATCTATGAAGTATTACTTCATCTATTCCAAATTGAATTGCTAATGTTAAATTAGTTCTAAACTTCTAATAAAAAACTGATATACTTCCTCCGTCCTTTATACTTTTGCCAAGTTTGACCGGCACGGGGATTAATAAAGTAAAAATTGTGTGATTGAAGTTTGTGCAGAGAAGTGAGAATTAACTAGAACCACAAATTCTTTACTTAAAGAGGAAAGTGACAAAGTTAGTGTGATATCCAAAAAAGGAAAGTTGACAAAGTTTTAAGGGACGTAGGGAGTCCTAAATTAGTAGATGAAGTGAATTTCTAAAAAAAGGATAACACCCCATTTTTGAGGACATCAGAACCGATCAGACAGTTATATGAGGGATGTAAGTTGAGTTTTGATCATTGAAAAGAGAGTGAGATTTCATCTCAAGTCATTGCTTGGAGTTGAACCCGAGACATCAACCTTGTAACACTCTGATAAGTCAATTTCTATAGACCAAGAATACTTGATTTTGCAAATTATTTTTGAAATAAGGGAGTATTAATTAATTAAGAAGTGGTGGATTAGTTTTAGTTCTTACAATTATCAAGTACAAGTAATGTTGGGTTAATGGCCAGACGTGGGCCGACCAATTACCCCTTAGCAGATAAAGCACCAGGGCCCAATCAGCGGGGTCCATCAATATGCTCGAAGGACGAACGTCTTCTATTTCAAGACGTTCGGCCTCAGTAACCTTGGTCCAAACGAGGTTACTGCGTAAATCGCACGGAGCCTAACCCTTGCACGCATCAGGGCCCAGGACACAAGACCTGGAGGACGCTCGTCCGCTGCCTTGGCGGGAAACCAAGATATTGGCGGGAAGCGCATTTAATGCAGCAGATGGGGTGGTTGGGAGGCTATCCATCCACACCCCTCCACGTCAGCAACGCTACCTACTCTATGGTAGTATAAATAGTAGCATTTATTTCATTAAAAGGGATTGACAACTTATTCTCCCTAGCAAATAACAATTATCTTAGCTCTTAGTATCAAGATAGACGAACGACCTCGGGGCTTATAGTTGAACTGTGTTGTATACGAACTCTTATTATCACTTAATAAGATATGGCAAACTTACTACTCTTTATTTGACCCATCTTTACTTGCTTGCATCTTAAATCCATTAAACACTCCACTCAAAATCCAAGGGAAACGTGTTGGGCCTTTGATTTGAAGGAATAAACCTCAACACTAGCGCCGTCTGTGGGAAACTGATCTAAAAGTTTCCAAAACAAGCACTCACCAAAAAGCAACTCTTTACGAACCTACAAGCAAGTGAGATGGCAAGAAACAACTCCGGACGTACTCATGATCTCTCCGAACAGCTATCGACCAGCAGGAGGACCCGCACCCAGGCATCTGGTAACCAATCCAAAAGCCTGTGGAGCCGCGGAGATGACGGGGATGTCACTCACCTGATTCCCCTGGAGTTCAGAAGGGACCCTCGCATCATGAGGGAACTGGCGGAAACCATGCATTCCATGCAGCCGTCCGAAGAATGAACCGGTGAAACTGTGGAGTCCCGCACTTCGGTCTACACTCGGATCGGCGGGACCCCCCACTCCCCAGACATGGGAGGTCAAGGAGGGACCAGGCCCCCCAGAGGAGGACAACGATATGCGGCCTAAAAACCACACCCCGGTGATGCCGCGCAACAATCACTAGAACAGGGAGCCAACTCTCATGGTGAGCAACGTGGGACCATGGTTCCAGTATGTGGAGGGGCATGGCGCCTGCTTCATCCGAAGGCAGCCCGTCACCAACGTTGTCCGCACGGACAATGCTCCGGCGGTAACTGACCCTGTGATTCCATTCCCCGATGCGCGGGACGAGATGCTCGCTTCCAGTGATAGATCGATGAGCTGAACCGTCGGACGGAGAACAACCCGGCGCAACCCAGAATTGCGCTCACCTCCCCATTTTCTGCAAGGATCATGGCTACAGAGATCCCTCGGGACTGCAGGCCACCAGGCGCACTGCTCTACAATGGGGCCGAAGATCAGAAGGCTCACCTGCTCTCCTTCCAGGGTGGGCTCACCATGCTGGGAGCATTTGATGATGCCATTTGCAGGCTATTCTTTGGCACCCTTTGGGGGCCAACACAGAAATGTTTCGGGATTCTAAGGCTCAGGACCATAGATAGTTTCGATCAACTGTCGAGGCAATTCGTGGCGCAGTTTGCGTCCAACACCACTCCGAAGAAGCACTTTAGCTCGCTGACGAGCGTTCGTCAGGACAATGGGAAGTCCCTCTCCACCTTCCTTGTCAGGTGGAGGGATGAAACCTTGAAGGAGTGCATTGGCATCACCCTCTTCACAAACGCCTTAACGACCAGGGATCTATACAGAGACTTGAAGAGGAACTTGGGGACCAGTTATGCTGAAGTCCTGGCCCGAGCGCAGAAGTACGCGACGATAGAGGGAGAAATTTCCTAGAGGGACAACGCATCAACCGCTATGACCCGCCAGATGGAGGATCGGCTGGGCCCAGGGCCCAGGGATTCCCCCTCATAAAAAGACGGGCAATAGATACACCCCATGGACACACCACACCCCTATCAACAATGCATGATGGGAGGAGGCTCCCGAATACACCCCCTTGGTGCTCTTGGTGTCTCAGATCTTCGAAAACATCAAAGACAAATGGATCATTGCTCGACCCAAGGACAAGGGAGCCCTGATAGGCAACAGCCCGGATACATACTGCGAGTACCATCGCAAGAAGGACCATAATACGGACAACAACAATAGCCTCAAGAGGGCGATTAATGACCTCATCTGGAGAGGGCACCTCGGGGAGTACATTGCAGGGGCGGAGCCACAGCCCCAGATGCAACCGTACAAGAAGCCTAACACATGGCATTGGGACGATCGGTGTGAGGCCGAACCCAAGGACGTGGATTACCGTAGTGCGAATAAATGCCACAAAGGCTCCCTCGAGCCAAATGGGGGCAAGAAGAAGATGGAGATCAATGTGATCTTCGGGGGAGTGGAGACCGGAGATACACCGGCCGAGCGGAAGAAGTTCGAACAGGCTCTTTATGTGGGTTCCATATCCGCCCCCACAAAGAAGAACAAGGGTCGAGCTGGTCATCAGCATGGACATTTAGGACACCATTGTGCGGTGGGTCCTTGTTGACATATGGAGCAACATCAACGTCCTATACTTGGACGTGTTCAAGAGGATGCATCTGAGCAAATTCGAGCTGACTCCCCCGCGAACCCCGTAGGCAGGTTTTACCGTAGACTGCATTGATGCAGAGGGGACCATCACATTGCCGGTGGAGGTCGGGGATGGTTCGCACGAGCGACGATCCACATGACCTTCGTGGTTGTCCGCCTGAAGTGAACCCACAACGTTATCCTCGGCAGTCCGTGTTTGGAGGACCTCGAAGCGATTTACTCCGTGCGGCATTCCTGCATCAAATTCTCCACAGAGAGAGGGGTAGGAGTGGCCCGCACGGACCCACATATGGCCAGGGCATGTTATTAGGAGGCCATGAAGAAGGTGAGTGACCGCAACATACGAGTCAAAAGCATAGCTGAAACCGCTCAAGGGCGGATATTGCGTTCCGTCCAGAGCCGGTGACGTTGCTTGAGGAGGTCGAGGTGATAGGAAGATATCAATTGATGCAGACCTGGAACCCGAGATCCGAGACAGGGTGATCCTCGTCCTCCGGAAGTACAAGGTCCTATTCGCTCGGGGCCCAGAAGACGTGCCAGGGATAGACCCCAAGATCATCTGTCACAGATTGGTTGTTCGACCTGATGCAAAGTCGGTGCAACAGAAGAAGAGGTACATGGCTGCCGAACGAAGGGATTTCATCACGTTGAGGTCACCACGCTGCTCGGCATACGCCACATCCGACCGGTCATCCTTGTGGAATGGCTGTCCAACGTTGTGTTAGCACTGAAGGGGCCTACTTGGCGGACGTGCCTCAATTACTCAGACCTGAACTAGGCCTGTCCTATGGATCCCTATCTTGTTCCACAAATCGATCTGCTGGTGGATGAAACCGCTGGCTGTGAGCTCCTTAGTTTCATGGATGCCTTCTGAGGCTACCATCAGGTGATCATGCACCCAGACGATGCAGAGAAAACCGCGTTCGTCACGTTGGACGACGTATACTGATATATTGTCATGCCATTCTGCTTGAAAAACGCCATGGTTAGAGGATGATCGGGATACTATTAAAGGAGGTGCTCGGTATGATCATGGAGGCCTATGTGGATGATATCCTTATCAAAAGCAAGAAGAAGGAGGATCACATCCGAGATATGGAGAAGGTGTTCAACATCATGCAAAGGGCCAACATGCGGTTGTATCCGAAGAAATGTGTTTTTGCCGTCAAGGGCATAAAATTCCTCGGGTATATGACGAGGAACGAGGAATTGAGCCGAACCCTGAGAAGGTAAAGGCCATCATGGACATGGAGGGTCCCAGGAACCTGAAGGACGTACAGAGGCTCACCGGGCGTCTGGCTGCCCTGAGCCGCTTTATGTCCAAACTGGCAGACTGAGGGATTCCTTTCTTTCAGATCATGAAGAAGGCGAACCCATTCGAGTGGACTCGGAATGCCAGTCGGCATTTGAAGATTTCAAAGCATACATCTCCTCTCCGCTCGTCTTGACCAAGGTGGACCCTGGGGAGCAGTTGTACATGTATTTCGCCGTCACAGATCTGGTTGTGAGTTCTGTAATACTGAAAGAGGAGGAAGGTGTTCAGCGTCTCCTTATTTCCAGGTCCATCATGTGACGATATATACAATGCAGCCGCTCACCACTATTATGAGGAATCTGATGGCCAACGGGAGGATCATCAAGTGGTCCCTGATGATCGGGCAATACAATGTGAAGTTCAAGCCAAGGCCAACGATCAAAGGACAGACCCTTGCTGACTTTATCACGTAATGCACTGCGCGCACCGAGGAAAAGTCCCTGGATGAAAACGATTTTGACAATTGGTGGGAAATGTACACCGACAAGGCCTCCAGTGTGCGAGGATGTGGTGGGGGAGCGGTCATCACCTCCCCCGAGGGTTTCAAAGCCTATTACACGATGAGATTTGATTTCAAGGTCACCAATAACGAAGTAGAGTACGAGGCACTCATCGCTGGTCTGAAGTGTGCAAAGGCGCTTGGGGCCGCTCATCTCAAGGTCAGAATGGACAACCACCTTGTGGTGACCCAGATGAATGGCACCGCTGAGTATGGATGGACTCGGGCCGGGTGGCCCGACCCGGAACCGGCCCGGGACCGGTACTGTTCCGGTCCGGTCCGACCCGGTGGCCCGGTCAGTGATCGGTCCGGGTAGGCCCGACCCGTGGGTTTTCCGGTCCGGGCTCGGGTCACCCAAAACAAGGTCCGACCCGGTCGAGCCCGGTTTGGGCCAAAACTTTTTTTCAATTTTTTTAAATTTTCTGGTTGGGCTGGGTATTTTGGGCCATTTGGGGTGGTTTGGGCGGTTGGGGGTGGGAGGGGGTTAATTAGGAAGAGGGGAAAAAAATTAATAATGGGCCCGGCCCGAACCGGCCCGGACCCGGTGGTTACCCGGGCCGGTCCCGGGTCCACCACTCCTGAACCGCCGGCCTGCCTGGGCCTAGGCCCGACCCGGACCCGACCCGGACCCAAGTCCACCCCTACCGCTGAGACCCGAGAAGAGCGGATGAAGGCGCTTGGATTCACAAGGATATTTTTGTCTTTTAATAATATAGTTTCTTAAATATCCCTTTTTTCTCAAACACTTCAATTTTTACATTTTAATTAAAATCACTTATATTTTCAAACACTACCTACTCTTACTATAAAGCACTCTTCCAATAATCTCTTAAAAAAATCACTTTTGAGAAGCACAAGCATTTGCAAACAGAGCCAATCTTTTAACATTTGTAAGTATGTTAACTTTCATCATTATTAATTTTCTCACACATACATATATGGAAACAAAAATTATAGGGAATAAGCTTTGAGTACATGGAGGAAGACTATGATATACTTCGTATATTTTTCCTAGAATGCTAATTAAACAAAAATACAGAGTATATATATAGGTAAGATTGCAACTAAAGTTATTATTATGTACGTACATAGTACTGCATACTTGTATATAATTTCATGGTCGTCATAATACAAAATTGAACACAATACATCCTTATGTTACTATCATAGTCACTTTGTATAAGAGATCACATTTTGTCTTACATTTATATTTCGTATACAAATGCTATTTCATTATATCTTTGGTAATTTTTTCGTAACTCCATGCAAAAGTTTATTTCCATTACTATTTAGATATCCATTTAGTACCTAATATTGTTTTATAATATCTTTGTATTTTTAAATTGAAACTATAAGTCTATAAGTTTTTTATGAAGATTAAACAAATAGAAAATGTAGGAAATCACATAGAAGTTCAAAAAATAAGCAATAATAATGTAAAAAAGGCATGAAAGAGTAGATCAATACTCTAAGGCTCTAAGCACCTATGGGTTTTAAAAGAATTTTTGATATGAAAGTAAAATAGTGACTAAAGGCTAAAGCTACCAAAAATATATAAATATAAAATATAAAATTATCATAAAGTCACTTTGAACTTCGTATAAGAGTCTAAGAGATCACATTTTTGTGTTTCATCTTTGATCTTTATTTTGGTTATATATGTCACTATACCTTTGTTTATTGCTTCCACGAATCCAAAGATAAGTCTATTTCCACAACCATTTAGGTTTCCATTTAGTACCTAATGTATGTTTGGAAACTTTTTAAACTAACTGAAAAAAATACTTTTGCAATCTTTTTATTAGCTGTTAACTTGAAAAGAATTAAAAAGAAAAAGGTTATTAGCAAAACACATTTTGCTTTTCGAGTGTAGAGTTCCATTCTAATATTGGACCGGTGCTCAGCCCAGCCAGCAACTACAGATGTTAGCAGAACACCACAAATGCATTTTTACCTACTCTCCGTAACAAGCATTATGGTGTACACTTGTATAAAATCGGCTCAGAATCTTAGAAATTTGCAGCATCACAATGAACAAGACACAACGATGCCAGTTCGAAGACACAAAACGATACATTTATCACACACAGGTCACAGTGTCACACACGCAAACTGCTACAACAATCAACCAAAGACTTGCCGAGTTTCATTTACATATAAGATCATACGGCACATTCATATATCACAAGACTCTTAAATGACAAAGCACCTCAAAACAGGGTAATAGTTTGCACACTAAATTACTTCTGGACTTGGTCTGCAACAAAAAAAGTAGTAAATGAACATCAGATATGGTCCATTTGTAAGCAATGATCTATTTTAGCTCTGAAAATTCTCACTTTTTGGCCCACAACAATTTGGTCATGGACAAAATTTGAAAGAGGTAAGGAATTCTTATCCTTGCACCAAGTAGAAAATTTGAAAGTAAAGAACCACCAGTTGGAATGACATAATACTCATGGTACAAGGAAATTTTCAAATTACAAGAAACAAGAAGATATTTACAAAGATGCCAAACAGAAAGCAATAAGACACACCTTCAGCCATGAGGGGACGTAACTGTCAGAGTTCCAAATCTAAATTAAGAATCTGTTATCAAACAATCAGATGAAACACAGCTTTTATTAACTCATACAGAATATGTAATTCAAAAGAGTCAGTGGCGAGCATGGTTTAAAAAGGCGCTTAAAAGGCGGGTTTTGTGATGCGGCTCATGGTTTAAGAGGCTTACGCCTCAAAAGTTGAGGTGTACGCCTTGACGCGCGCCCTGAGGCACTTTTTGAGGCCTTTTTCCTTTGCTTCTCTGTTTTTAATGTGCACAAACTTAAAAAAGGCCCAGAGTACTTTTTAAATAGAAGTCCATTAATTAAACATGTGGTCACACTAAACCCTAACAAGTCTTATTTCATTTAGATCCTAAGTCGCTAACGTATACTTTCTATTCATCTTTCAGTTTGTGTGTGATGTTTCTGTGTGTGATATGGCTGTTTGTGTGTGACATTTTTGCTGGTGTGTTTGAATTCTAATGACTTACTAGTATTAGCTCATATGTGTTTGTGTTTCGCACGTTTTGAACTTATAATTATGGATATATCATTTACTTCTGTAGTTGTTTGTTACTAGTTTAACTATTTTGAGTTTAATATGTCTATATATCTGAGGCTTACGTCTCAATACGCCTTGCCTCTTAGGAACAAACTGCCTTGATACCCGAACCCGCCTTTTTAAACCTTGGTGGTGAGAGAAGGCCAATGTGAATGTGGTTCGAGTAGTTCAATGATATGCCCAAACCTAAAACCTATGAAGAACTCAATATCTTTTCAGTTTACAGAATGAAATAGAACTGTATATTGTTTTCCAAATGGTCATATAAGAGAAATGAGAATAATTCCACCCATACTTGCATTACTAAGAAAACCATTTTTTAGCTCATGCAAAATTTTGACCACCATCTCAGTTGTATAACACTATAAAGATCTGCAACGAATTTGTATAAGTGCCATTTTCACTGTCACAGCAAAAGATATGTGACTAAAGAATAAAGTATGGTTTTCTTAATTCCAACTTGACAAAAGATGCCAACATAGAACTATTCGTTTTTTCTTAATGAAACGCATTAAGCATAGAACTAAAATGCCAATGCACCAAAATCCCTTAATTTCTCCAAGCACATTCGAATTTTTTCCTGATCCTCTTATGTCATGCATTTACCCACAAGCCAAGGCCCATGTGATCCATGTATCGTGGATATAAGGAGACAAATAAACTAATTGAATTATATAATGAGTTAATGATGATAATTATGCAATGATAGTCTACTCTAAAATCAACTTAATCGATTGGAAACACATAGCAACATACCTTTGCGATCATCATGTGCATCATGATACTCTGGTTCGTCCTCATCCTCCATAGAAGCCACGGACACCACCGGTTCAACATTAGTACTTCGTCCGTCTCTGTCTTCAGGATACCTGACAACCACGACAGGACACACGCAATGCCTAACACAGTAATCACTTACACTACCGAGTCTGCTGTTGTTTCCTTTCCTGGTGGCCCCAAACCCACGGCTTCCCATGATCACCGCGTTAAGCCCTAACCTCTCCACTTCCAGGCAAAGCCTCTCCTTCATATCATGGTCCTTGACGATGTGGATTTTAAACGGAATATGCGCGTCGACAAGCGGCTGAGCCAGATCGGAGGCCTTCGTGATAGTGAATGTGTCGAAATCATCCTCCAGCTTCTGCTGCGACTCCTCGTTGTCTGTGTCAACGATAGAGAGGTCAACAGATCCCCAATCAGCACCGTAGAGCACCGAGGTAGGGCGGACGTGGACAAGAATCACGGCGTCGCCTGGACGGAGGTATTGGTGGACAGCCCACTTGACAGCAAAGGCTGACTCATCGCTGAGGTCGACTGCGATGCCGATCCTACGCTGGGCTCCAGCGGTGGGGGTGTCGGTACCGGTAGGGGTGTTCTGCGGCCGGAAACGGGGGGATGAAGACCGGACTTTGATACTGGCAAGCCGTGGAAGGTCGGGATCAACGGAGGTTGACTGATTCTGCTGCATTTTCTCTGGAGAATTCCGGCGGGGTTAGGGTTTTTCTCGGCGTTGACCCTTCGTTCTTTTTATTGACTTTTACAAGAAGCAGAGTCAATACTCAATACATAGCTGTGATACAAAAACGGGCTACAAAAACTGGAATGCTAACGTGTTGGGCTGCTTGTGACACAACCCAGCCCAATGTTAACTAATTGGTTCTTTATTCAAACATGTAGAACACTCGTGCAATGCAATTTCACGTAATTAAATTTAGTCAAATTTGAAATGAAAAAACAAACTTATCGTTTTAATTGAAATGTTTGAAATTATAATTTGTACGGAATTAAAGATCGACGTAAAATGGAATAAATTCAATACCATTTACCCACAAAATAGTAAATAGCACGTAACATAAATATAATTTGATAACACATAACATTTCATGTTAAATGTATGAACCACTTCTTAATACACAACATTTTCGATTTCAATATTCATTTACAGTGTAATTTTTAACGTTCTGCGATTAATTACTCTTGACACAACCACGTAAAGTTGACTATGACTAAAAACAGATGATTTCAAAATTAAACCAACACGCGATGACGATTATCTTTGACTTTTGTTTAGAATCGTGACATAATCTTTGACTGGTGAATAGCAAGTAAGATCTAAAGGTGTTAAGGAATGTTTGGGAATGAACACCTTTTGCCCCCACACTAACTCTTCTTTAAATCTTTCTTTCTAGCAAAATGTTTTGCTAGTCATTCACTCGCGCGATGCACAAATGATTTTACAATGGATTTTTTCATTTTTAAAGGTTTATATATATATATATATATATTAATTGAAGGTAAAGTATTTATAATGACTGAATAATAGAGTGACTTTACATTTATACGAATTGCGTTTTTATACGAATTGACTTGGTAAACAGGCAAATCAGGGGGGTGCAAATATGTAAATGTGTGTTATGTCATTCTTAAATTACACTTAAATATAAATTTAGGTGAAAATGTTCAAATAGGTCTTTATACATCTCATTAAAACATATGTAGTATTTATGAATATAAAAAAGGATTATATTACTCGGTGAGTTAGAGATTATTACATTATTTTCAATATTACTCGGTATATGTATATAACATTAATATTCGAAAGATTTGTTTTTACAAAAGGAATTGTTTTTCTAAAATTCTTAATCGGGTTTGTGGTCACAAAAAGGAAATTAAACTCCTGAAATTAAAGAAGGGTCAAATATTTTGTTTTAAAAAACTATTTTTGGAAAATTCACATTTAATTTTGTTCAGCTTAATACTCCGTAAGTTTTTTCTTAGTCAAAACTACCTCTAAATTTTTCTATGGCTAAATTTATTATAAATGAATTAAAATGGGCCTAATATTAAAAAACAGTACATTACAGTCGAGGCCAATCTGGTACGTTTGAAGGTTTAGTAACATAGAATTAAAATGATCCTAATAATAAAAAATGTAAAACACTTTTGTGTCTAAACTAACATGCATAATAACAATAATATTTCAAGATAGTTACAAAAATTGTAAGTTTCTCTTCTGTCTAAGCCACTAATATTATAATTTTGATGGTCCAAATAAACAATGGTGATCCTATTTGTGCACTTTACCAATATATTTGTTCTATTTAAGGTATTAGTTCGATTATTGTCAACTCCTATATTCATCCCTCCAATGATGCAATCATTCTAAATTGTTTCATTTTTGGTAGTTAAATCATTCTTCTTCTTTGAGTTCTCATCATGGGGATTTTTTCTAATCTTCTCCTCTTTTTCTTTATCCTATCCAGACTCGGTCATTTTTATTACGTCCTGAAATTAATTAAATTTATAAATTTAATTATAATTGAAAATATTTGTCTAACAAAATCTAATGCAAATAATTTTCCAATGTTTTATTCCAAACATTTAGAGACCGTTTGGTAACACCAAAGGACTGAATCGGCTCATTCTGCTGAAACTTATGAAATTCTCGATGAAGTGACTAGATTGACTGATTATGCTGATTTATGTAAGAATTATGTTTAAAATATATTTTATTAATAAAATAAAGATTTTTTTATGAAAAATAATTTAAATAGTCCTCTATAGTAACTTCAGCCAATATAGTCAGGAAAGTAATTCCAACCTTACTTTTTCTTATATTACACAATTAAGCGTATGAAATGAAAAGTTACGTGTTTGATGAAAAAATTGTCTGATCAGTCTGATTCACCAAACAAGAACTTAAATTTTTATTTATTTTTTCCTAAAATTACTACCCATTTGGCATAGAACTAAATATTTATCCTTACATTTTTTTAAAATTTATTTCAAGCAAAAAGAGCAAGTAATAAAAGTGTTTTCTAGACCACTGTGTTTCCTCAAGCCCCCAACCCTGATTTAATACTTCGTACCAAACAAGTAAACAACCATTCTAACCGTTCTCTCGCATCCTTTTCGAAACAATTCCATCTCACACCCATCTCGTTCGAGTTCATACGTAGCAAAAAACATATGATCTAGAAAAAAACAAGCCCCCCAGATCCTCCCATGACTCCGATTTCATTCACATTTCCGCCAGGCATGGATACCATTGATCTACAACTGCAGATGTTATTTCTATTCAAGAAATCATTTGAATGTGATAGATCAACCTCCCAAAAATCAGATGATTTACTCCGCGGTGGAAAATCGATCGTGGCTAAGGTCTATTGCCAATTCCTGACATTCACACACTCAGATCTCACTACCAAAAGATCTCGGTATAGGTACGAATCATGCAGGCAGTTCATTACAACAGGGTCGGGGTACGCAAAGCTTCCAGATTAGGCATCATGACAGACGGGTTAGAGGTTTGCACTTGTTGCAAAACCGACATAAACGCGCTGGACATGTTCTCCATCTGCGTTCGCCAAAGTTGCTCCTGCTGCGCGAATCGGGCTTCCACTTGCATTTGGATAAGGGCATCAATATCCTGTTGGGTGGGCCCTGAGTTTCGGGTTGAACATTCAAAGCTTTCGGAGAGACTACGCTTCAGACTGAGTCCCGTACTGCCGTCCTCTATAAGTGGCAACCACGTTGCAGAAAAGCTCAGAATCATCAACGTCATACGATTTCCATTCAGATTCAGCCTGCACCTTCAACTCATTGTACTTTTGCTGCATACCCGAGTCTCACCAACACGATGTGGAGGATCGTCTTCCTTTGGAACATACACCTTCTCATACACTTCAATCTTCGGAGGAGCCCGATTCAAATCTTTGGTCTATGAACACACAAATAATAAATATATCAATATTTAATGCTAATAATTCTAAACAGTACCGAATAATTCAACTACACAAGTGAAGTGGGAACTTACCATTTTTTTAACATGTTTATTGACTGGAATCCGCCTGCCACGATACTGTGACTCCTTCGCCTTCTGGGAGTTGCGGTTTTTCTTCCCGGCAGCACTCTTCTTCTTGAATGAATCAGACCCCCAATACTCATTCAATAACATCCAATCACCATCACATATCCACTCCGGCTTCTTGTTTTGCCGTCTTGCCCGTCCAATGTTCTTGCATACACTAGTGGAAATATGGATTTAATAACGGTTATAATGGACTTTTAATAATGGCTCAAACCCGTTATTGTTGCAGCACCTATTAAAAGTCCGGTACTTTTAATATGAGTTCGGGAACCGTTATGAAAGTTTATTAAATAACGGTTCAATTGGGCTTTTAATAACGGTTATAGCCCGATATTGTTGTGGCACATGTTAAAAGTCCGGCACATTTAATAAGGGTTAATACAGAACCGTTATTGAAACATTCAATAGCAGTTGTACATTAACTGTTATTAAAGATTTTCAATAAGGGATTAATCAACCCATATGAAATGTCTTCCTAACAATTAATTCATACCCAGCTATTTCTAAATATCATAAATTTACACATATCATCATATGAACATTTATCGCAACAAAGTAAACACATATCATTGCTCATAACTAATAAAATTCCACATTCACATTGCTTTGATCCAAAAATATTCAACAAAAACTAGGTATGAGTTCACAACATTCATCAAAAACTAACTTTGAGTTCACTAAAACTATGAGTTCATGACGAGCACTTTGTCACGATGCGTCAAAATAAATTCAATACTATCACTTATACGTAGTATAGCGCAGTAGGATTCGTATCCACAGAGAAAGGAATACTTTTCTTTTTATGAACTAGTAAATAAAAGGGGGATTTTGGGATTGAGTGATTTAATTTAATAAAATACGAAGATGAACGACTTATATGAGATTTAATTCAAAGATAAAAGAACTTGGCATTGCTACTTTCCACTTGTTGATATATTTTAGTCGATCACCATTATATCTATAACTTATTCCCTCTCGAATACTCAATCGAGGAGTATATCCAATTCATCGAGGGTAGTTATTAACAACGACCGTTCATTAATAACTCTTACTATTAGTCAAGTATAGAACATCGCCATATACCGACTTGATAGTAGCATTTAATCTCTTAACTCCTTGATGAAATCAATTGAGATTAATAACCTCAACACAACGGTTTCGGTTTAACCAACAAAATTAATCCCTCTTAAGTTTATCAACCACGACCGTGCATTAATAAACCGAAGTTACTTACTTGTGAAACCATCATCGATTAACCATCGGTTCGTCGATCGTTTCTAGTAATAATTAATTAATATATGAAACAAAACTAGTTGATCCTTTAAGTAATGTTCAAAATATTAATATGAAATATGAATAGGAATTAATTAATATTCAAGGAAAAATATTATTAAAAGAGATGAATCCTACTATAATTAATATCAAGATGTTAACTAATTGTCATCTTAGCAACACTCCCCAACATTAATATAGAGGAAGAAAATACTACTCTAACTAATGCAAGATGTTAACTAATTGTCATCTTAGCAACACTCCCCAACATTAATATAGAGATAGTATTAAGGAAAGAACTAATAACTAATATTCAAGGGAAGAAGTTAAGAAAATAACTCACAACATTAATAATCAACAAGCTTCAAGAGCAACACCAAGAATGGAAGTTTAGCTCCTCATTTGGAGACTAAACATAGCTGGAAAAATAGAAAGAAATGCTATTC